ATCGTCTTCTTAACACTGTCGAACGCCTCCTGATGCTCCTGCGTCCACTTCCAAGCCGTCTTCGGAGACGTGAGAGAAAACAAACATCCTACTCGCTTCGCGAACCCCAAACAGAACTTGCGATAGAACGATGCCATCCCTAAGAAAGTCCTCAGTTCCTTCACGTTCACCGGAGCCTTGTAACTCGTGATTGCTTCCACCTTCTTTGGGTCCATATGGATACCTTGCTTATCCACGACATGCCCCAAGAAATGTACCTTACTTTGCATCAGCACACACTTCTGCGCTTTCAATCTGAGCCCTGCTTCCTGCAGCTTCGCACACACTTGTTTGAGTAGCTCTATATGCCTTTCCCGCGTTTCCGTACAGACTATTATATCATCAATGTAACAGAAAACTTCCGTTCCAAGAAGGTCACGCAACACTGTATCCATTAGTCTCTGGAACACAGGCGGACTGGTGCTTAATCCGAAAGGAGTCACACGAAATTGGAATAGTCCCTTCCGGCGTAGTGAACGCTGATTTCTCCCGTGCCTCAGCCGTGAGTGGGATTTGCCAGTATCCACTACAAAGATCCAAAGTCGAGAAATACGATTTACCCGACAAACTTTGCAATACTGCGTCTATCGTGGGTAAAGGGTATGAGTCAAGCTTGATTTTCTTATTTAACTCGCGGTAGTCCACGCATAATCTAAGACTGCCATCTTTCTTCTCCACCAAAACAATGGGAAAAGCCCACTCTGAACTACTTTTTTCTATCACTTTCCTCCTTTCCAAATCTTCTAGGAGCTCTCTAAGTTTCTTTCTCATGCCCAGTGGAACGGGCCTTGTTTTCATCTTGACTGGCTTATTATCACCTGTATCTATGTTCATTTCTACCACATCTGTACCTGTCAGCTCCCTATCATTTACTGAAAAAGCTTCAGGGAACTCATCCAAAACTGACTCAACATCTTCGCTCAACGTTTCTACACTTGACGCCTCCTTAATCTGTTCTAGCAGTAAAATTCGCCTCTGCTCTGGACTCATATCAGGGGATGTACTATCCAGCATGAGCGGGTTCACATCTTCCCAACCCTCACGCCATTTCTCTGTCCCCCACTGACCTATCACGTCTCCTTCTCTACAGATCATGGGCTCATCGCTATCGTTCACCACGGATACATCTACACTTCGACCTTTGATGGTATACACACCTGCAACCATCCCAGTCATGTGTGGCCAAATGAGGCGATCTCCCTCATAACCATGCCCCTCACATCGAGCCGACACAATCGCTGCACTATGCGGGGTAATGTACGCCCTCCTGGCTACTATTACCTTTCTTGAGGACACCCTGTCCTTATCCGGATCTAGCTCTGGTGATATATGCACGTTCACGCCCAACTGGTCCAAGGAGTTTGTACCCAGTAATATCTCTTTTTCATTGACATCCATAATGTGGAAAGACACTTTGGCTTTTCTACCTCCTTCTAATTCTACTGTAATCTTCACAGCTCCCATAAACTCCATGCGATTACCTGATGCGTCATACACTGGAACCATGTCTGAATTAGAAATCATCTCTAAACTGTCAAAGCCATTAATTTGTGCCTGTGCTAAGACCGCTATTGTTATGATACTAATCATGGAACCCGTATCAAGCACGGCACGGACCGAGCTGACAACATGCTGACCCATGCTGAGCATATCTCACCTATTAAGGGTCCACTCATGTCGCCGTTGGCTCTTATGCCAAGGCTCCGCGCACTCTTGATCAATCCTGTCATCCTCTCACGGTTCTCTTCTAATTCACTTGTCGTATAACTGGACTATAACTGGACGTATCCACTATCTGGTTCACACGGGGTCTCCTCCGTGGGCAATCCTCCCCAATATGTCCTACCTGCTGGCAGTTGTAGCATCATCTTCTGTCGCTGCCTCCTCCGCTGCGACTTCCCTGTTCTCTTTCAGCAAGACCCATAGTCCCACTATTCCGAAGCTCCTCACTAGGCCTGAAAAGCCTCATCTCGCTTCTGCTGCCCCCCACTCTGGGCCCATTATTCAAACTGTCCTCGCTATGCCCTATGTCCTGAAGGTTTTGGCTCGAGCTCTCGCTTTCCTTCTCCTTCTTGGTATGCTGTTTCCTGTCCTCCTTTTCCATCCATCTCGGCG